CCCCCCCCGTCTCCTCACGAGATGATTTTATTGCGTCGCGCATTGATACTGCAACTCCCTGATATTTTCCCTGTGTCTTTCTCATTTTCCTTTTCTGTTTCTGTTATTCGTTAATTTCCTTTTTTAGCAACCTTGTAATTGCTAGATCGCCGGTTGGTGGTGATTGTGAGGGAGAGATTGGTAAGTGAATCGACGATATGAATTTATTTTTACGTCTTCTTTTAGCTATCATAAAGATTTTGAGATCTTGCGATCCTTTCGAGATCCTTTTGCACAATTAAATTGATATTATTAGCGAAATTGCATAAATCACAAGATGTCGGTGTCAATATATATTCCTGTGCAATACTAACACGTTTGTTAATAAAGCAAATGGAATTTGAGGAGGTATACGTTATCTAATTGTTCTATTTAATGTAAAATTTTAGAAAGGAAATTATTGACTCATAACTTATAACTTGTTGATTTACTAATATTTATTGTGCAAGAGGATCCTGGTTATTACTGTTGTATTTCTTATGTTATTCGTAGTTCTATTGTTGTTTTGTTTGTTTCGTTTAGAAAATATTGACGAAAGAGTTTATAATAAATAGACTATGGATATTTATGCATATATATGTAGAATACACATAATATAAAAAGATATATAAAATATCCAAAGTACTCATTATACTACCTTAAAGGTAAATCTTTTATTTTTTAAATTGTGTGCATAAAAATTCGCAGTCCAGTAATGTGCAGCATACAAACTGTACAACTAACAGTTTAGTATTTATCAATTAATTTTGTACTATAGAAAGTTTCGAAGCTAAAAAAATATAAAAAAAAAACTTGTTTAAAGAACGAAGTTCATACGTAATCTAGTATCGTTTATCATATCTCTCTCATAATCCTACTGAAAAGAAACTACATAAAAGCAGGACGCAAAAGTGCCGAACATTCTTTTTCGAATGGCATAGAAATATACGAAGCTGTAATTTATTACTGTGAAGCTTTAAACAATTGGCCAGTAATAATAAAACGTTCAATTCGAGCAAATTGTTTGCAGATGTGCCATTCTGTCCGCGAATTGCTCAATTCGTTGTTGGTCCCCTTTGACCTCTTCCCCCTGTTCACGCAGTTTTATTGCAGCTGATTTTTCGCGATCGACGCGCACCCGTATATTCAAAATTTTATACGCTTGTTTTGCCGCGCGAGACACGTATTTTTCGGTGAAAAATTTCGACCATGACGATCGAGCCTCACTACTGACCAGAATGGAAACTAATTTCCACGCACACTTCCCCCACATCTAGAAATTGTATACAGTTAACAAAAAAAAAAAAAGAAGAAAAAAGAAAATCGTAACGATCATAGAGAATCGACGATACAAAAAAAAGAGTACATATAATGTAAAGCGTATTGTAAACAAATAGAAACATATCTTCTCGATATTTACATAAGTTCCTCGGCTACCGTTCATTTTCAACGTTAAACGAGAGAAAAGACGAGAAATATAGAGGATCATGTAGGGGTTTTCCATTAATCACAAAAAATGGCTGCGTTAACGCCCCAGGCGATATGCACGTAATCATTGTTAATTATTTGCTGTAATATAACGCGACGTTTGTAAATAAATTGGATCTTAACCGAAGCATTTGACTTGCCTGTGCTATATCCTAATTGCGTAAAAGGTTCTTCGATAGCAGTAACATCACGTTTTGCATGTTTCCTTTAAGCATTTTTATAATACAAGAAATTAATTTAGCTTTTCCCGCACTATCATTTTATGGAATACTCAAATTTCTAATACAATAGAACTTTGATTATTCGAACTAATCATGACACGTTGCTCAAGGTAATCGAATATTTTACCACCAATTATTTCGAGTTACTTTATAAAAATTAATATTAGATAGAAAGAAAAGCTTGTAAATAAAAATGTAACTATTTCTTTCGATTCTTTTTTCTTGTTTCACGATGTTTCTTGCAAGAAACCATCCTTAAGTTTCTCATTAATTAATATCCCTATAATTATGCGTTTTGTTAATCAATATTCCAATAATCAAACTTCTACTACATTTCAAAGTCTTAAAATACCTATTCAATGAACAGTACACTTCTTATCTCACACTTTTTAATTGACAACACGTTTCATGATTACCACATTTCACCAAAATATTACAGATGGTTACGTGTATGCTTGAGCACTGGTCCTTGACACAGAAGGTGAAAAGTAACCAGGATCGATCAAGAAACCATCGACACGTATCTCCCACGTATTTGTAGAACTAATCGGAGGTTATGTGAAGGAGGAATCGTTGTAGGGGAAAATCTAGAGGACGAGAAGGAGGAACTTTCACGCCTCCCCTTCGACCCTCGATCCTCCCCTCCGTTGCGTCGTGTTTTATTTCTGATAGCGACGCCTCCGTCGTCGCCGCGAGGACATTATCGCCACCGCGAAGGACCTTTTCTTCCCCCATAAAGGCAATCACGCTTTCTTCGTGGCGAGATAACAGCAGAATGGAGAGCCAGAGACGTCTCCGTTCGCGCCAACGAATTCAACCACGATTCCATAATTCTTCGTACGACCATGAAGCGAGCAAAGCGATTCTTTCCACTTTCTTTCTTATTGTGAATAGAATTCTGTGAAACCTACGAGCATATTGTTTTCTATGTCGGTTTTCAATTAAGTAATACATGAAATTAGTCGTGATAATTATATGTTGAAAATGTTCAAGCCTTGAAATTATTTTTTAATTGCTGCTTAGTGTATAATTAATCGTAATTTTGATCTGATGCAACACATAACGCGAAGTATTCTGTTAATCTTCGTTTTGATCAATTTAGTCAATATAACTATAGGACTGTAATCGTACTCCTCTTGTGTCCGCATTTTCAAAGATTTATAAAATTGTGAATTTTTCTACGAATTAGTACTAATGAAAGAATAATCTTTAATTACAATGAAATGAAAACATGTTACAATTCTTTGGAGAATAGACATTTGAGACACTATTTTACATTTTACGCTATTTTTACTTAATTACATTTAATGATAAATTAAAACCTGAGCTTATAAGTTATAGTTATAGTATATTATACAATACATATCTCAAATTATATTTCAGTAACTATAACGTGATTATACTTTAAACGTGTGTTCCTTTATAACTGTAACTTACAAGTTCTGATATCACAATACCTTACCAAGTAATCAACATATGTATTTCCAATTCATCAATAGTTAGTATCATTTCTCCGTTATCGAAATAATTCTTAGAGAAATTCATGACTTTGTAGCTTCGAAAAGACACGAACACGAATAGAAGTAGTTCGATCGAAAATGTGGACGTTTAAAATCTGAAGGAGGGCACGAGGAACGACCGGAAGCCCGAAGAACCGACGTAGACTCGAAATGCACGGTGGGTGTTCCGATTCGAAAGTGATTACATTTGACTTGGATTCGTGCCTCCTTACGGCAAAGGCAGCCTCTGCCGGTACAGAGCCTCGGCAACGAGGACATTCTTCCCCGACAATACCTCCCACAATCGAGCGAGCAGCACTTCCGCGCATACTAATGGAGAGGCGCCTAGACTCCTTTGGCCAGCCAGTAGTCGACGCCCCAATCCACCCTTTCCCCCTTTTCACCCCTTTGCACGCCGCCGTGGAAAACTTCTCCTAGCGGAGAAGACGTCCTCCTCTAGTTTCTAGCAGAGAAACACCAGACCACGATGGATTTTTCCAAGGAAGTCGATTTTACGTTCTTCGACCACTTTTGTAAAATGGCAAAAAATTAGAGATGAAATGGTTGTTTTAATGATGAAAAGAGGTAAGGGATTAGGTAGGAAGCGTGTTATACCGAATAAGCTTTAATACTAGTGTTAGTATCCAGTTTCTAACGTGTACTTAAATATACTATATAAAAATAATTACAATAAAATGGAAAATGAAAAACATGGAAAACATGTTAATAAAGGGCTGTTTCAAAGTTAGAACTGCTAAATTTATGAAAGTAACGGATTTTAATTTTCTTGTTTATATGTAAATTATATTTTGATCTTAACAAAAGTTAACATTAATTTTATTAAAAGTATCCACTCTTTGTTAGTGTACGAAAATAATCTTCAAAAAGTTCACAAACACAAAGTCCACACATGATGCTATTACAAAGTATTTAGACAAATGAAGATCCACGCTGAAGGAGAAGATTAAAATATTCAAGCAACTTCTTACAGATCCATAAATAAACTATGGACAGTTATTTATGCAAATATTTGTACGAATATGATTAAAGAAATAATATCAGGAAAAGAAGCGAATAGAGATCTGTTTTATCCCATTAAATATTATAAAGTATACTTTGGATATTTTACCTTTAAATCCATAAATACATGGACACCATCGTTTTCTCATAAATCTGGCTTACCTTATACCTGC